ACAGCGAGGAACATGAGAAAAGAACACGAAGTTCGTTTTTACAACCCCAGGGTTAGGCTTCCTGCGCAAGAAACAGTGCCGAGAGGGAGGCGGCAGCAGCTCGGACTGCGTGCGAACGAGACACGGGATGGGACGTTCGTTCGCTCGTCTAGCTCAGCTTCCACCGCCGCCTCCAGGCTGAGGGCAGCGAGGCTCCTGGGCTGGCCTCCAGAGCCGCTGCAGCCCGCAGGCCGCAGACAACACCGAAGGTCCACGAGGGAGGGAGGGGATGCTGAGAAACAGGAATCACTCTCTTGGGAAAGGGAAGAGAAGTAGCTCCCACTGCAGACAAGCCAGGAGGGCAGCAAGAGGCCCTCCTAGAGAAACTGGGGTCCGGCCATCTCTCACCGCGGCCTGTGGCTCTCAGAGCACGACTCCTGGAGGGGGAGGGAAAGGGCCTGACCGATGTCCCTGGGCATCTGGGATCACCTAGGCGCCGGCCTTTGGCCCCAGAAGGCTGCAATGTAAAAAGGCAACAGGAGCCGACTCCCGTGGCAGAGCATAGCTTTCAGGTGCCTACCTCCCGCTGCGGCATTCAGCGGGAGAAAGATTCACAGCCTCAGAAACCCTCTCTAGACTCCTACTGAGCTACAGTTGACTCGATGGCAGCGGGAAGGAGGCCTGGTAGCGCAGTGCTTAAGCACTCACCTGCTAACTTAAAAGAAGGTCAGCAGTTTGAATCCACTCTCGGCTGCTCCAGAGAAAGCTGTGGCAGTCTGCTACCCAAGAGAGGACATACCTGGGGAGCTCTAGATGTGGGTTCTACTCTGTCTTATTGCTGTGGTTGGCATTGACCCAGTGGTGGGTAGGTGTGGCTTTTGGGGGAGGTTAGCAGGGTAAGGATGTGGGTTGGACTCGAGTCATCCTGAAGGAACTGTGCAAAGAGCTGCCTGCCAGGCCCTGGGGAGCCCTGCGTGGACTGTGCGGTGCAAGAGCAAGGGGTTGCCAGCACGGCTGGGTAGAAAGGCGGCGAGTGGACCACTTATGTCAGGGAATGCTGTGAGGTGGATGGTCAAGAGGACTCTGACGGGCCCTCGAAGGCCCCTCCACAAAAGAGCCACTGGGGCCTGTCTGCTGGGGTGACACAATGTGAGAGCCAAGGGAGAATCATACAGGGCCTCTATAGTCAGGCGGGCCTGAACCCACCTCCCCCCAACCCCGTCCCTGCTGCAACCTCAGGGGAACTAGGGTCAGGGCTGAGCGGAGAAGCGTGAAGAAACAGGCCCATGTCCTCATGTCACCACTGCTGGCCCCAAGCTAGTAAGAAGTTACGTTTTTAATTTAGGCTGGATTAAACTTTGCAATCATTGACATTGTAGACTATCCCCATAATGCTGTCATAAGTCAGGAAAGGGAATTTCAGCATAGTATGCTGGAAAAAAGAACCCCAAGCTCTCAGGTGAATTCCGACTCCTATAGACCCTGCATAGACTCCCAATGTCTTAAATATTTATGGGAGTAGATAACCTCATTTTTCTCCTTGGGAGCAACTGGTGGGTTTGAACCACTGACTTTGTGGTTAATAGTCCAACCCTTCCTGACAGCACCAACAGGGCTTGAGACAATGGGAAAAGAACAAAGCAAACCTTAATCTCTGTCATGAGCCACTCATGTGTGTATTTAATGAGTTGGTTTTGATTATAGTAGTAAATATATCCTTTGATAGTGTATCATTTCTCTTTTTACCTACATGTTAACTAAAAACAAACAACAACAAAATACCAAATCAAACTCACTGTCATCAGGCTGTTGCCAACTCACAGTGACTCTGTAGGACGGGAAGAACTGACTGCCCGTGTGAGTTTTCTGAGCCTGTAATTACAGAATACTACAAGTGGAAGCATGAGAAAAATGTTAATAACACATACAACATGGAAGTAGATATCCTTCATATACAAAGAGCTCCTAGAAATTAATAAGAAAAACTTATTAACTTAGAAAAATAGGCAAAGGATGGGAACAGGCGATTGAAAAGGGGAAGAAACAACGCATGTGAAAAAGTGTCCCATTTCAATGCTTGGGAAAAGGAAACTCAAGACAGTGATGCGATGACATCTAGCAAATTAACCAAAATGAAAAGGAGCAGTAGTAGTCAGGGCTGCTCAGGACATAGGAAAGCAGGCGTGCTCATATAACATACAGCGGGAAAGTTGCCACAGCCTTCCTTGAAAAATACTTGGCAGGATCTATTCAGTTTAATGAAGACGTAGTCTTTCCCCCTCGTAGCCCTGCTTCTAAGAACTTATCCAGTGAAAGAAAGAGCATCTCTCCATCTCACCACCACTTGTCGGTCTTGACATCTACATCTACACCTACCTCTGTGTGTCCATCTGAATCTGTGTCTACATCTGTATCTATGCTTCTATCTACAGCTAGAGCTGCCTATAGAGAGGTATATTCCTTACAATATTGTTCATCACCCCCCTAAAGGAACTTCCTGAATCATTAGCAGAGCAATTTGATAAATCGCAGTGTGTTCACACAGCGGAAGGGAGGAAGACAAAGAAGAGGAAAATGTGAGAGAACACCAGTGAGAGAGAAAATGGAGGAGTGCAAGAGAAGGTTGGAGAACTTAGAAGTAAGGGTGTGTTAGGCTTTCTAGAGAAACAAAACCAGGACATTTATTACATCTATATAAGAGGATAGGTTTATACAGCGAGAAGGAATATAACAGCTAATTAGTCCACACAGCAGTACATGGGGCTCAATTCAACTTACTTCTGTGGAACAGTTAATATACTGAGTTAGTTAGTTTATTGTGCCAATCTGGCCAATAAACACGTGGGATTAATTGAAGGGCAGAAGGATAAATGGCTCGGTGAGCCTCGCCTTTCTAGTTCTCAGGTCTCTTGCTTTGTGATGGTTGCACCAGGGTGCAGCTGCCTTAGCAGTTCCCTGCTTCAGCTTTCAAGGCAGACTTCCTGCAAGACATCCCCAAGAAGAAGCCATATGGACCTACCCCGATGCAGCCGTGGGTGCTGGAGCAGCCATGTGGCAACCCCTGCCAGCGCTGAGATGCTTACACACTCACTCAGCTTTCCTCCTGCAGTCGGTGTCATTGCATCTGCTTTTTGAGATAGAGGAGGACTTTCTGGATTGGTGTTGGATATATGGGCTAATGTTGGACTTGTGGGCTTGGGCAGCACTGAGTTGGGATATTTTCTTGATGTGCACTTAACCTTTACATAAAACTTTCTCTTATACATGAGTTGTTGTGGATTTGTTTCTCCAAAGTACCCAGACTAATACATATACTGAAAGTCCTTCAACTTGCCGAGTCCAAGGTCAAGGAAGCAGACGGTGGAGTCCTCCATCAGGCAAGGCAGGCAGAGTCTGCCCACAGCAGGGTGGGTCAGCAAAGGTCAGTAGCTCAGGAGCTTAGTGAAGTAGGCCCGGATGGGATATCAAACTCATGTAATGCCAGGCAACAGGATCCACTAGCATCAAGCTCAACAATGTACACACCAGCAGCATGGTGAAGCAGGTCTTGAAGGAGCCTCAAGCTCTAGCTACATGATCCATGGGTTGGCTTGGCCAACAGGTAGTGTAGCTCACAAGTTGAGGCAGAGAACTAGCTAAAGCAGCAGCACGCTGGTCCAGTCACCAAAGAGCAAGCAAAAGGGGGATGGGCCTTGCAGAGCCATTTATCTCTTTGCCTCCAATCAAACTGCCACCCGATTAATCCCACATGTTCCTATTGGCCGGGTTGGCACAACAAACCTAACTATCAAAAAGGGAGAGTAGCCGCCATTGCTACCATGAATTGCTCCATTGGTAGTAAGGTAGGGGAGAAAAGAATTCATTTTTCTTTATATGATGCTATATTGTTTGACTCACTATAAAGCTTTAAAAAAAATCAGGCCCTCTACCTTCCGTAATTTTTTCAGAATCCCACCAAATCATACAAAGGGATATGGTCCATTGTTTTGGGTAAAAGTATTTCTTCTTAGGGGTAGGACCGTTTCTTATCTTGCGCATACAAGTACTCACTAAAATGTCCCCAATAACCAACTTTGTGTCCCTTCCTTCCTTTGCCTGATTTGTAAAATGATGATATTAACTTAGATGATCCTTCAGATCCTTTCAAAATTATAAATCCTAGCAGTAGGTCATTTATATGGGAAAAAAATCCAGTTATCTTGGGCATATTTCACAGCAGTAGGAGCTGACCAATGGCCTGTGTGTTGGAGGGCCAGGGTGGAGAGGTGGTGGTGTGAGAAGTTCCCCCTGGGTAGGTTGAATTTAAGAGGCACACCCCAGATGAGCACCACGGCTTAGCCTTCAAGTGGTCAGATCAAGCACAGAGAACGTCTGTCAGGTTGAGCGTCAGATTTTCTTTCCTTCTCTACAGTAAGCTCCCACGAATAAAAGAAGAAGAGGGTTGAAGCAGAACACTAGACAGAGCAATGGCAGATCCCCCGAGTCTGCTCTATGTCAGCCTCCCCTCCTCCTTCCCCTTCTCCTTCTCCTCTGCCTCCTCCTCCTCCTCATTCTCCTCTGCTTGCAGCCAGTCTTGGAGAAGTCCAAAGGACCTTCAGTCCCAAAGGAAGGAGCAACATCCCACTCAGGCCATGGTCTCAGCCACCTTGAGCAGCTCCCAGGGACCGCTGATCGTTCCCGCCCAGGCCTGTGTGAGACAGACCAGGTGCAGAGGAGGCTGCCTCTGGGTGAATCTCCGCACCATGTGCTTCTCCTTGCACGGAACTTTTACACACACACACACACACACACACACACACACACACACCATCGTGCTTCTCTGTGCATGGAACCCTTCACACACACACACACACACA